ATTAATTTATTTAAGTCAATTAATGGTATCTGTGAAAAAGTTGCTACTTTAGCTTAAAACTAAATGATTTTCCCAGGTGTACAACAGAAGTACCTTATTTTCTGGTGTATAAGACGACCCCCTAATTTTACAGTTAAAACATAGGATTAGGCCTATATTCACTGTATAAGACTACCCCCCACTTCAAAGAAAAGACTTACTTTGCCGTCAAGATCTGCAGATAATTTTTGTGCAATTTTGGTCTTTTGCCCCCGATTTTCGGTTGACTTTTTTTCATTTCAAAAGTCATCTTATACGCCGGAAAATATGGTATGTGCATATGCATATAATTACCATACCTCTGCTATGCCCACCAGCCAATCGGGAGTGAGTATGCAAATTCACCCAACCAAGATGGTTGAAGTCACAGAGCCAGCAGGAGGCAATGGAGAAAGCTGTCTGGCCCGCCCTGGCTGGCTCTGGCCTCCACTCAAGGCTACAAAGTTTCAATGATTGAAGATAAATAAATCCAAACAAAAATGGCAGCAGCCACAGAGCTGGAAAGAGCAGGAGGCTAGGGTTTTCCCCGGTGATGGAGGAAGCCAAGCTTCTGAAGCCCTAGCCTGCCTTGGCCTCCACTCCAGGCTACAAAGTTTCAATTATAGAAGATACATAAATTCCAATAGAAATGGCTGCCACCATGGCGCAAGCAGGGAGCTTGGCTCCACTCCAAGCTAAGTTTCAATTGTGGAAGATAAATAAATCCCAGATACCAAGACCTCCACTTGGGTCTCCAGGGGGCATGGCCAGCCTGCAAACCACAGGCCCCTCGCCCAGGCCACCCTACATCCCAAGGGAACCCCCACCATGATCCAGGACATCCTTCAGGGCAAACTAGCTGGCCCCCACCTGTGCACTAGGCCTCTATCCTAGCTAATAAAAATAATATGCAGATTGACCGTCACTCCAACACACAAGATGACTGCCTCCATGTGGACACAAGATGGCCAGCAAAGGATGGCAGTTGAGAGGGACCAGGTCTATAAGTGAGGGCAGTTAGGGGTGACTAGGCCAGCAGAGGAAGGAAGTTGGGGGTGACCGGGCCTGCAGGGAAGGGCAGTTGGGGAACCCAGGCCTGCAGTGGAGAGCTGTTGGGGGCAACCAGGCCTGCAGGGGAGGGCAGTTAGGAGTGACCAGGCCTGCAGGGGGCAGCAGTTAGGGGCAAACAGGCTGGCAGGGGAGCAGTTGGACATCAATCAGGCTGGCAGGGGAATAGTTAGGGGGTGATCAGGCTGGCAAGCAGAAGCGGTTAGGGGCAATCAGGAAGGCAGGCAGGCCAGCAGTTGGGAGCCAGCAGTCTTGAATTGTGAGAGGGATGTCTGACTGCCCATTTAGGCCCGATCCCAGTGGGCAGTGAGATAGCCCTCAAGGGGTCCCAGATTGGAGAGGGTGTAGGCTGGGTTGAGGACCAATTCCCCCTACGTGCACGAATTTCATTCACTGGGCCTCTAGTCCTATATAATAAAAGGCTAATGTGCAAAGTGTCCCCTTGGGAGTTCGACCAGGAGACCAGGAGTTCTATCACTCACTGTGACATGCACTGACCATCGGGGGGTGGTGTATAACATGGCAGGAGACCAGCAGGATGCTGAGGGAGCAAGGGAATTCGATCGGGACTCTAGTTATCATAGATATTTACTCAGTTTTTCTATATATTACCTTGGTTTATCCTCTGAATTTGTCTTCTTAAAACTTCTACTAGTAAATACTTATCACTTACATTTATATTTCATTGGCCAAACAAGGTACCTGCCATGTCTGAGTTCTTCATTGTAATTCTTCATTTAGGAGATCCTGTTATTAATGAACTAGGGATCCAGTGCACTAATTTGTGCACCTTGAAAGGAATTTTGGGCTGCAAGGTAGCAGTGGGCACAGAGGCTGGTCTTAGCCCATCTCCATGCCCTGCCCCTCCCGCCGCGGCCCCTGGTTCCCTGTGTGACAGCATCCCTGCTCCCATGTGCTGACAGTGCCAGCCAGCCCGGCTAAGTGGAGTGATTGGGGCTGGCACTGTCAGCAGGTATAAGTGGTGGCTGCTGCCCTGATGACACATCAGGAGCAGGGGAAGGTGGAGAAGCCCTGAGGGGTGATTGGGGCCTGTAACTGCTGCTTGCACTTGCTGATGGCGTAGTCCTGGCAGCAGGTGTGAGCAGCAGCTCTGACACTGGCAGCAGATGCAAGTGGGGCTGCTGCCCCATCTTGGTCTGTCACCCCATCTTGGTCTGTCACCCCTGCTCACCTGATCCACCATCCCACCGTGGCCAATGCCCACCATGTTCCTCACACCCCCACCCCCGGGGGTCAGCATATGTATGTCATAGCGACCGGTTGTTCATGTTCAGTCTATTTGCATATTAGCCTCTTATTATATAGGATAGGATGGTAATACTGTTTACCTCAATTTCCCCTTCTCTCTCCACTTTAATTTCTAAGATATTTTTTCTTTGTTTCTTGCTTATAAAATTCTGTTTGTTTCACTGATAAAATATATTTTTACTAGAGGACTGGTGCATGAATTCGTGCAACAGTGGGGTTGCTTGACCTGGCCTGTGGGATTGGGCCGAAACCAGCTCCAACATCCTCTGAGGGGGTCCAGATTGCAAGCGAGCACAGACCAGGCCAAGGAACCCCACCAGTGCACAATTGGTGCCAGGAGGGATGTGGGAAGTTGGCTAGCTGGGGAGAGACCATGGAAGGGCCCCAGGGCATCTCTGGCCCATCTCACTCAGTGCCAATTGGTCGGACCCCAGCAGCAAGCTAACCTACCAGTTGTAGGATCTGCTCCTGGTGGTCAGTCAGTGCACGTCATAGCGACTGTCGACCAGTCAACTGCACCCTGTTGATCAGTGCACATCATAGTGAACAGTTGATCAGCCTTAGCATATCCTATCTAATAAAAGAGCAACATGCAAATTGACCATCACTCCAACATACAACATGGCCACCCCCATGTGGACACAAGAGTGCCGGTAGGGGAGGGCAGTTGTGGGTGATCACTCCACCAGGGGAGGGTAGTTAGGGGTGACTAGACTGGCAGGGGAGGACAGTTTGGGGGGGGGCAGGCCTGCAAGGGAGCAGTTAGGCATTGATCAGGCAGGGGAGTGTTTAGGGGGTGATCAGGCTGGCAGGCAGAAGTGGTTAGAGGCAATCAGGCAGGCAGGCAAGCATTAGTCCTCAATTGTGAGAGGGATGTCCGACTTCGCATTTAGTCGGACATCCCTCGAAGTGTCCCAGATTGGAGAGAGTGCTGGACTGAGGGACACACCCCCCCCATGCATAAATTTTGTGCACTGGGCCTCTAGTCATTAACATGTTATGCTTTGATTGGTTGAATGGTTGATACTTAGCATATTAGGTGTTATTATATAGGATAGCAGTGATTGGTTTTAAGTTTCTGTTTATTTAGCCTTTTATTTCCTTAGAGGATTTTTTTTTTCTCTTGATGTTGATCTTTCATGTTAGTGGTATTCCTCAAATGTCTGTGCAATATTGGCTATACCGTCATATTTAAGAATTATTCACTAATAGGTAAACTCTTATGCCTGGGTGCTTCTAATCCTCTGGTAGGTTTCAATAGATGGGAAGAAAAATGCCTTATGGATCCAGGGTCTCCTTGAAGAAGAATTATACTGTTTTTATTCTCAAGAACTTCGGTTTAGCCAGATCCTTTGTTTTAGCAAAAGAAACGAATACACTCAACAGTTATTGTCTTAGAGGGGCATTCTCCTGAGGCTTTTCATGGCGCTTTCAGTTTGTTCAAAGAAAGATCTTTTCACGTTCTGCTCACATATTTACATATACCTAGTTGCCAACATTTATTTTTGCATCATTTCCAGAAAGATGGTGATGGTCTCACCATATTATATACAGATTTAATCACATTGGTTTCAGTGTAGCACCTCTTCCAAGGCATTTCATTTATTGGGTGTCCCCTGAGTCTGAAGCTTCTCTGATTAAATTTATGCAGAATATAACTTCCATTTCATATAAAGGATTGTTCCTGTGTTCTCACTGGGAGTGTAGCGGTCCAACTGCTCCTCCTACAACATTTTTTTTCATCCACCATCCTTTATTTCTTATTCGAGGTACTTGATTTTCCTCCAATTTTTGAGTCTTTGACAATTTGTGGTACATATTGGCTTGCTGACCTTGGCATCCTCTTCTGCAATACCTTTGTTATTTTGACTTGCTGAGATCTATGTGTTGAAAATCTTTCATTTGATTTATGCTATTAAAAAATTGCTAAGCCCTAGCTGGTTTTGCTCAATGGGTAGAATGCCTGCGGACTCAAGGATCCGAGGTTTGATTCCAATCAAGGGCACATGCCAGGATTGTGGGCTCAATCCCTAGTAAGGGGTATGTAGTAGGTAGCCGAGCAACAATTCTTTTCATCATTGATGTTTCTCTCTCCCACTCCCTCCTTCTCTAAAATCAATAAAAAATATATTTTTAAAATTGCTAATATCTGTGTATGTTGATGTCTTTTGTCATATTATATATCCTTTTTTCTTGAGTTTGAACCATTTTGCCTTTTGTCATTTAATGAAATTATTAGGGAATAATCCTTCCCCTTTCTTCGGTATCATAGCTAGACTTTGTCAGTTTAATTCTTCATTGTTTGTTACATTCACTGCTTGAATTATGAAATGAGAAATGTTTTGCAAGAGTTCCCTAAATTTTGTGAACCATTGAATATTAATTTTCTACCTAGATATCCTTCTCAATGGTTTCCTTCTCAAAACTTAGTTGAAGACATTAGACATGAGGCTTCTTTAATATTTTGAAATGGGCTAACAGAGTTAACCACAAAAAGTATAATCTGAAATTTTATTACTAGTAATGGTAAATTCATAAATAATGATAACATAATGCTAACATTTATTGAGTGCTTACCAGGTGCCACCTGCAGTTCACTTTATATATTAACTCTTTAATGATGTTTCTTTTGTATTTCATTTTAGAAAAAGCCTGAGAAGATGAAGAGCAGCTAGAGGGGCAGCAAGACTTTGGTCACGTTGCATCGTCTTCAGTAAAGTACAGACTGAGGGAAATATAAGAAAATTGGAAAAATACTTCCTCTGATTTCAGACCTTTTATCTTTTAAAGGCAACATTCTTTCTTACGTAGAAAAAATTTGAAACACAATTAGACTTAATCATGAGGGCATTGTGTAGGAACAAATCGTCAATTTTATTGATTTGAAAATCTTGCCACACTTTCTCCTTATGGTAATAACCCTGTTTAAATGTAAATCAGTTAAAAAGTTTGAACCCCATCAGATACCAGAACATTCGTACTAGATTCATACCCTGTGAACTTACTGAATGTGAGAATACTTTCACTTGTGGCACACCTTATGAATTGTAGAAATCAGGCTGAAGAAAAACCTTGCGCTTCTAAGGAATATTGAAAAGTCTTTAGGGAGATGACATTTCACTGAGCAGAAAAAAAATTGATACTGAAGAGAAACCACTAAATATAGCAATTCACTGAGTATTAGAATATTTATACTTTGAGAGAAAGCTTTGAACTCGGTACAATAAAGTTTTATCTCACATCTATCCTTTACTTTGAAAGTCACACACAGAGAATATCTACTAATGTAAGAAATGTGGAAATACCTTCAGCCAAAAGTAAATCCTCATTTATCAAAAAATTCATACAGGAAAGAGAACTTGTGAATGTTGGAAAGCTTCTTTTCAGATGTCAGAGCACAGTCAGCAGAGAATTTGTAGTGGGGAAAACCCCTTTGCTTGTAAGGTATGTGGGAAAGTCTTCAGCCACAAATCAAATCTCACTGAGCATGAACATTTTCATAATAGAGAGAAACCTTTTGAATGTAATGAATGTGGAAAAGCCTTCAGCCAAAAGCAGTATGTTATTAAACATCAGAACACCCATACTGGAGAGAAGCTTTTTGAATGTAATGAATGTGGAAAATCGTTCAGCCAGAAGGAAAACCTTCTTACCCATCAGAAAATTCACACTGGTGAGAAACCTTTTGAGTGTAAAGATTGTGGGAAAGCTTTCATTCAGAAGTCAAACCTCATCAGACACCAGAGAACTCACACAGGAGAGAAGCCCTTTGTATGTAAGGAATGTGGGAAAACCTTCAGTGGCAAATCAAACCTTACTGAGCATGAGAAAATTCATATTGGTGAGAAACCCTTTAAATGCAGTGAATGTGGAACAGCTTTTGGGCAAAAGAAGTATCTCATAAAGCACCAAAACATTCACACTGGAGAAAAACCTTATGAATGTAATGAATGTGGAAAAGCCTTCTCTCAACGAACATCACTTATTGTACATGTGAGAATTCATTCAGGTGATAAGCCTTATGAATGCAATGTATGTGGGAAAGCTTTCTCTCAAAGTTCATCTCTTACTGTGCATGCAAGAAGCCATACAGGTGAGAAGCCCTATGGATGTAATGAATGTGGGAAAGCTTTCTCTCAATTCTCAACCCTTGCTCTGCATTTGAGAATTCACACAGGTAAGAAACCTTATCAATGTAGTGAGTGTGGGAAAGCTTTCAGCCAAAAGTCACACCACATTAGACACCAGAAAATTCATACTCATTAAAACCTCTGTAAATATCTTAAAAATTGGAAAGTAATTCATCAGGAATTTACAGCATGTGGCAAGCACGTCAAAGTAATCATTCTGAAGAAAAGTGTCACAAATAAGCAAAAACAAACCATATGGGATACCATAAAATTCATACTGAAGATAAAGTCATAAAAATTCTATGCCCAGCAAAAAAAAAAAAAAAAACCTACAGGTAAAATAATGATGAAACTTAAGACACTTTTCTGCTAAAATTGGGAATGGGAAAACATGCTTATTACTGTCTTATCTGCCTTGATCTGGAGATCTTCACCATAGTAATAACAATAAGTTATACATGTTAGAAAGGCAAATACTTTATTTTAACAGAAGAGAAGAGATTCTGAAATACCTATGCATTTATTAGAATTTAAAATTAGAGAAGATAATGGGACTGTTTAAAAAATGATTTGGAGGTGGTTGATTCTCCAAGGAAGAAAAAATCATGAACTATACATAAAGGTAAAATCCGTGGGATTAAAAAGAGGACTATGGCCCAGCATATGTTGCTCAGTGGGTGAGCCTCAAACCATGAACCAAGAGGTCAATTATTCCATTCCCACTCAGGGCACATACCTGGATTGCAGGCTTGATCCCCAATAGGGAGTGTGCAGAAGACAGTCAGTTTTGATGTTTCTCTCCCTCTCTGAAATCAGTAAAAACACATTTAAAAAACAAGCAAACAGGACTGTTGAAAAGCTGCATCCTGAAATGATTATGACCCTAGGAGTAGGAAAACATTCCTTATAATGAATTAAAAGTATGTAGGTTTTCTACTCTTGAGTTTGTATGCTCAGGAAATATGTACCAGGCTATTTACTGTGGCACGATTTGTGGTAGCCAATAAGTTGGAAACAAATGCCCGTCAGTAAAAACGTAGAAAGTACTTATTATGGGATATGTAACAAATGAGATCTATATGTATTACAGAGAATTGTATCAAAAACATTGAGGAAAATGAAGAGACAGAATGACAATTGTGATACCACGACATTTTTGTAAATTTGAATTAAAACCTCCCTTACGCCGAAACCGGTTTGGCTCAGTGGATAGAGTGTCAGCCTGTGGACTAAAAGGTTCCGGGTTCGATTCCGGTCAAGGACATGTACCTTGGTTATGGGCACATGCCCAGTAGAGGGTGTGCAAGAGGCAGCTGATTGATGATTCTCTCTCATCGATGTTTCTAACTCTCTGTTCCTCTCTCTTCCTCTCTGTAAAAAAATAATAAAATATGTTTAAAACTTCCCTTACAAAAATTCAGTACTATATATTGGTAATAGATACATATATGTATGTATGTTTTTTAAATGGATTGCAAGGATAAAGATCAAACTCATGATAGTGGCTGTGTGAAGAGTTGAAAAAGGAAGAGGATGAGTGTAGGAGGGGTAGAGTGGGAAACTGGTTAAAGAGGACTTCATTTTTTTGTATGTAAACATCCACTTCTCTAAAAAGCAGAAGAGACTGCGGATAAATATAGATAAATACTGGATAGTTCTGGATTGTGGAATATGGATATCTTGTCTTATTTTTTTGTACTTTTCTGTATTTTTAAAGTTTCTCAAAATCATGAGGGTGAGGATGGGATCACTACTTATAGAAATCATGTTCCAATGGATTTGTTCCCAATAAATGTAAACTTTTTATAGAAAATATTTCTAAAATTTTCTCATTGATGAGTAGATGGACTTGTTCTCTATGTAGTATGAAAGTATCTATTTTATTAAAATTAAAAATGATAGCATAATCCAAATCTGTTTAATTTATTTTTACATGTCAGTGTATACTATATGTTTGTCTACACATTTTACAACATCCTTTGAGCTTAGAAAATTTTGATAACTTTTAGTTAAAATTTACACAGCCTTTGTGTAACTTGTCTTTTTAGATCAACTTTTTGGAATGTCAAATTTCCTGTCCTGTAAATTATCATGGGAACAGTGAGTGCATTAAAAATAAGTTTGTGATTGTTTTATTTTAAAAAGAAATGCATTTAAGTTCCCACAACTTCCACAGTTTGAGTTAAATGCTAACACCTGGATCTCAGTTACAACGTTCAGACTTTCATTCCTCCCAGTACTTTGACAAATACATCCTTTTGGGTCCATCTGACCCCCACCCAGCTTTATTGAGATGTAATAGTAATCAACAAATAAAATTTTAAGATGTTTAAAGTGTATAATGTGATGATTTTATATACCTAGGCATTGTGAAGGGAATGCCCCCAACAGTCCCTCCCTCCCCATCAAGTTACTGTTTGTAGAGGATAGGATTATATGAGAAAAGTTGTACACACCCTGAATAGAATTCTATTATGTAAACCAATCCTTCCTGAAAATGTTTTTTCTTTGGTCTATATTTATAGTATAATTTGATGTAAATATTATTAATTTTCTTACATAATGGTGACCATCAGCAAAACAGTATTTTAAGCTTGATTTCAAAAGCTGCTTTTAAAAAAGCTTTTACACATCTTAATACCACCTCATTACTGTGTATTTTGTTGTTGTTGTTGTTGTTAAGCTTTTATGGAGGAATGACCATGAATTATATCGGGTCTAGTAATAGTTAATGTCGTTTTTAAACATTCGTTTAAAATCTTGCTTGGCGTTGACTTGTATTGACATAACCTTCAAACACGTGGTATCTACAGAACTTGTGAAGTGCAATTAACAAGTTTTGCTTGAAAAAGTTTGTGTTTGGTTTGGTTTTTGTTGCAAAACTAGGGCTAAGAAGATGGCGGATGAAGAGCATATTCGGCACTGCATGCTTTACGAGTTCCAATTGGGAAGAAAAGCAAGTGAGGCTGCAAAAAACATCTGTAGAGCTCTTGGTCAAGATGCAGTTAGCGCCAGAAAATGCCAGCGTTGGTTTGAGAAATTTCGCGAGGGAAATTTTTCGTTAGATGACAAGAGTGGTCAAGGCCGTGTGTCCAATTTTGATCAAGAAGCTCTTCAAGCTCTTGTTGGTGCAAAATCCTCAAATTACCCAACAAGAGCTTGCGACAACAATTTAAAGTTGTCGCAAGCTCTTGTTGGGTAATTTGAGGATTTTGCACCAAAAGAGCTTGCGACAACTTTAAATTGTTCACAAAAAACAATTTCCAATCAATTGCGTGCACTTGGCAAAGTCCAAAAGTTTGGAAAATGGGTTCCTCATGAGTTGACCGACGACATCCGTAATCAGAGTCACAATTTGCAGTTCGCTCCTCTCGTCAAAACGGTTTGCCGTTTTTAGAGCAAATTGTTACCGGAGATGAAGTGCTGTATGGTAATTTGAAAAGGTGGCCTCAAATGGTTGGACAAAAATGAGGTTCCGCAGCCCACGCCAAAACCTGACTTGCATGCGAAAAAAGTGATGTTGTGTGTTTGGTGGAATTTTAAAGGAATTCTTCATTATGAACTTTTACCATCTAACCAAACCATTACAAGTGCAGTGTATAGTGCCCAATTGGAAAGGTTAGCCCAAGCTTTAAGAGAAAAAGAACCCGTGCTGATTAATCAGAAGGGCGTTAATTCTTCACGATAATGCACGACCGCATACTGCAAGAATCACTGCTGAAAAACTGCGCCACTTGGAATGGGAAGTTCTCCCTCAACCTGCATATTCTCCTGATATTGCCCCTTCCGATTACCATTTGTGTCGTTCTTTGCAAAACTTTCTTCTTGGAAAAAAATTTAATAATGAAGAATGCCTCAAAAATGCATTGACCGAATTTTTTGCATCAAAATCACAAGAATTTTACAACAGAGGGATTAAAATGCTTCCTGAGCGTTGGGCACAAGTAGTAGAAAACAACGGCAACTATATTGTTGATTAAATTTTGTTGCATTGTTTAAATTAGATTTTAAAAAGTATTAGAAAATGACATTAATTATTACTAGACCTAATATACTTAATTATCTAAATGAAACTTAGTCCTTTCTAATATTGAACCCCTCTACTACCTTTTTAAAAAGAATGTTTTATACTAAAACTAAGAAATTGAACCAGATATTTGTGCACCATTTAAAAATTGTCTGCATTTGTCACCCAAAGAAAGAAAAACAAAGATTTTAGCTAAAAGATAGGTTTTCCTATGATTTTTCTCTCCTTAATCTCTTGTGCTTCACTTAGCTCTGAACTCTGCTCATGTGTTATTGTAACTTTGTAGTCAACAGAAAAATCATGACCAAAGACAAAACCAGGGAATACCTTAATAATGTATTTATGGGCCATGGCTAGGGCTGCTGCCCTAGCAAGACTGGTTGTGTTGACCTATAGAGAAAAGTTGAATCTGAAATTCAGAATCATTTTTTATAATAAATATTTATTGTTCAGATTATTACAGGTGTTCATCTTTCCCCCTCTTCCCCCATAGCTCACCTCCACCTAATCCCCAACTCCACCCCATGCCCTTACTCCCCGCACCTGTCTTCATCCATAGGTGTAAGACTTGTCCAATCTCTTCCTTCACCCCCTGAGAATTGTTAGTCCAATCCCTTTCTATGTCCCTGATTCTATTCACTAGTCCATTTTGTTCTTCAGATTTTTTATTCACTTGATTTTTAGGTTCGCTTGTTGGTAGGTATGTATTTTATGTCTTTTTTATCATAATTTTTAACTTTACTTATTTCTTCTTCCCTCTCCTTAAAGTATACCCTTCAGCATTTCATGTAATTCGGTTTAATGTTGATGAACTCCTTTAACTTTTTCTTGTCTGTGAAGCTCTTTATCTGCCCTTCAATTCTGAATGATAGCTTTGCTAGGTAGAGTAATCTTGGTTGTTGGTTCTTGTTGTTCATCATTTTGAATATTTCTTGCCTATCACTTCTGGCCTGCATAGTTTATATTGAGAAATCAGCTGACAGTAGTATGGGTACTCCCTTGTAGGTAACTAGCTGTTTTTCTCTTCCTGCTTATAAGATTCTCTTTGTCTTTTGCCCTTGGCATTTTAATTATGACGTTTCTTGATGTGTCCTTGGATTCCTCTTGTTTGGGGCTCTGTATGCTTCCTGAACTTGTAAGTCTATTTCTTTTACCATGTAGGGAAGGTTTTGTATCATTATTTCTTCCAATAAGCCTTCAATATCCTGCTCGCTCTCCTCTTGCACCCCAAAAATCCGAATGTTGGTACGCTTTAAGCCGTCCAGGAGGCTCCTTACAATGTCCTCACACTTTTGGATTCTTTCTTTCTGCCTCTCTGGTCGGGTGATTTTTTCTTCCTTATATTCCAGATCTTTGGTTTGATTCTTGGTTGATCTATAGTTGAGTTTCTGTATATTCTTTATTTCAGACATTGTATGCTTAATTTCTGGCTGGTCCTTTTCCATTTTTTGGTATTTTCTTTAAGGTCCTTGAAGGTCTCACCAAGCTTCTTGGAGGTCTCATCAAGTTTCTCAAAGGTTTTTAGAAGATTCTTGAGTAACCTTATAAATGTGATTCTGAACTCTGTGTCGTCCAGTAGTTTATTTTTCTTCATCTTTCCCATTCGTGACATGTTTCTGTGTCTCCTCATTTTGGCTGATGGAGTGGCTTTGTGTGGTAGGTGACCTATAGGGTCCAGTAGTTCAGCTTCCCCAATCACCTGAGGTGGTCGCTTTTGGTATATCCCTTTGTGGGCTGAGTGCAAAGTCTTGGTGTAATTTAGCCTTGATTGCTGTTGTTTCACTGGGAGGAACTGATCTCCAGGCCAATTGTCTGTGAGACCTGCTGTGTCTATAAAGGAAGAACTCCTGCACTGGAGACACGGTTTGTTTCAGTGGGGCTTTGGTGCTCACTGAGTCCATCTCCCGAATGTGTCACTTATGGGTGTGAGGGGTTGAAACTGACCACTAGGAACACTGGCTTCTGGATCATCATTGGGGTACAGTTCATTTGCTTGGGACTTGCCGGTTTTGTCGCTGGAGCTGCAGTTTATTTCGTTAAGCTGCCACAATACCAGCCATTTATATGCAAAAGCAGCTGTGTGGTGCCTGGGCGGGTCTGTAGAATCTGCGGGCAGGGTGGGGCCTCAGGGTGGGGCAGGGTCTTGGACATCACTAGGTTGGGGCGGGGCTAACAGCAATGGCTGTCCCAGCCCCCTGCATTTCCAAGTCCCTGCTTCCCTGCGATCCAGCGCAGTAAACTGATTGCTGCGTGCACCTCTGTAAGAGTCACCCTCACTTCGGACCGATGGCCAACAGACCAGCTTCTCCCCGTAGGCGTCTGGATCCCCCATGGGACCCCAGAAACTTGATTTCAAAGTGATCAGGAGCTTGTTTCCTTTCGGGTTGAAAAGAAAAGCCACACACCTAGTCACCCGCCAACAGCCCGATTCACGTGCCTCCGTACCTAAGCTCCTCAGCTTTTCAGCGCTTGCGCTCCTTTCTCTTTCAGCCAACCTTCCCATGGTTTTG